TTTATTTTCAAGATTCTTTGATGAATAGAAAGTTTAAAAGAACAGCATTTATTTGAAATGGATTTGTTGTAACATTATAAAAATCTTTACTGTCACTTTTGATCAGTTTAATGCATTGAATAAAAGTATTAATTTCATAAAAAAAAACATACCCCAAATTTTTGAACAGTAGTGTATGTGAACAAATACACAGATCAACTACCGTCATGGTGGAGCAACAGTCAGTGTAGCAAATGCAATACAACATGCTTCTGAAATCCTCAATGTTTATAGCTTGTTAAGTGAATAACACGTCTGATGTAATGGCACAGGCGTCAGAAGGGAACTCGGAAGGGTTTTTTTACCGCCACAGTCTTGTGCTTGCATTGTGTTGAATGTGTATTTACGTTTGCATATTTGTCTAGAATCTGTTTCTGGTCCCAATCACTCACTCTCTGTTAGGACACAGACGCTGAGGGTGAACAGGATGTGGACCTACTTGACATTCTCAGTAACCTGAGAGAGGCCTTTGTCCCCCTTAGGCCTGGAAACCGGCCCAGCTCTGCCAACAGCAAATGAATAAATCCTCATGCTCATAAAATGTGGGAATTAATAAATAATAAGTCGTCAGAGCCGACCGTCTCCTGCCAGATTCTTTCCTGCTGCCATAACAGAGTTCTGTTTATAGTGTGGAAGGTGTGCGTATGTTTGCATTTGCAGATGTGAGAAATGGTCTGTATGCATAAAGTGAAGTGGGGATTTTCTTTAAGTCACTTGTCTCTCACCCCGTTCTCTCAGTCCTTCCCTTATTTTCCTTCTTTCATCCTCTGCCTCCTCGTGCCATTTGCTGGTGGATCTGGCCTACTTCAGCTACTTTATTTTCCCTGTCTGTCTGAAATCACACTGATTTTGTGATTAATATGATGTGAATTAGAATTATAGGAAATTAATTCAAAAGTGAAAGTTTGGGGTCTGAAAGATTAAATGTTTTCGACAGAAGTCTTTTCGGCTCTCCAAGGCTGCAATTATTTGATTTAAAAAAATACAGTAATATTCTGAAATATTATTACAATTTAAAAGAACAGTGTTCTATTGTAATATATTTTAAAATGCTATTTATTCCTGTGATGCAAAGCTGAATTGTTAGCAGCCATTACTGCAGTCTTTAGTGTCTTTCAGACATCATTCTAATATGCTGATTTGCTGTTATTATCAGTGCTTTTGTGGAAACCTTGATTAAAGATTAAAGTAAATGTTGGAGTTTGTGGGTCTCAGTGGAAATGAATGACTTCTGGTCATTGTGTTGCTTGAAATCAGTGTGAACGGCCCTTTATTGTGAGTGGAAGACTGTAATTGGGACACAAACACAGAGCCAGAGGCAGAGGTTTGTGCTGTTGTAGTCTGATGTAGTGAGGCGTGACTGAGTTCCTACACATGTGGCACTAATTTTCAGCACAACAAATCCTGTTAAAACTGAATTTACTCCACCTAATGACACATTAACTAATTATACGGAGTAGCACTGGGGAGGAGAGGAGGAACACAAATCGATTCATACGCGTTTATTCTTTCCAGCAGGATTTGTTTTACAAAGACTAATGACCATCTTGTAGGGTCTCAGACTTTTAAGTGTTAGTATATGCATTTGCTGTTAAATGATGCATGACAATTTCCAAAATTAGCTGTTTTTTTCTTAAAACTCCTTTTCACTTGATTACATTTTTTTTCATGTTAAAAAAATATTAACTAGTTAAATGAAGTATGGTGTTGCCTTATTACCTCTCTGACAGATGTAGGTTGATCTAAACAGTAGATTTCATGGTCTGTTAAGAACCGATCCCTAACGTTCACTAAGTTCTGCCTAATTTCAGATTAGCAGAGCTTTAAATCCCTGCTGAGCCATTTCACTTTCTACTTTTGGTCAGAGTTCACCTTTTTGCTTTCACAAAAGGCCATTTTGGAACGTTTCAGAACAAGATTTGAAGAAGGGCTACAGAGAGAATGACGCTGGTGAAAGAAGCACGACTGCTTGTGTTTAATAACAGGTTTTTCTTTCAACATCAAGATTTAATGAGGGGAAAAAAAACTTTTTACCACCAGGTATTGATTGAATAATGAAAAGTTGGATTGGAGAGGTTGAGAAATTAAGAGGGCTTGGTGATGTCAGAAACTTGCTTTGGAGAGAGCAAGTTATTACATTTTGTTTTTGTTTTGTTTTGTTTGTTTGATTGCTTGTTTGTTTGTTTTTTTTCCTTTTATTTTCTTTTGATTTTTTCCCATTCTGTTTTCTTTTTCCAATATTTTATTAATTTCTTCATTTTTCTTTTCTTTTTTCTTCTCCTTTTAATAGTTCCAATTTTATTTATTTTTGTTCCTTTCAGTTTTCTTTTTCTTCAGTTTTTTTATTCCTTTTTCTTTTTAATTTATTTTTCTATTTTCTTTTTTTGTTCCTTTTAATTTTTTCCTTTTCTATTATTTTCTTTCCCTTTTTTCTCTATTCTTTCTTTTTTCTTTTACTTTCTTTTTGTCTTTCCTTTTTCACTTTATTCTTTTCTTTTCTTTTTCATTTCTGTTCTTTTCTTTTCTCTCTCTCTCTTTTTTTTAAACTTCTTTTCTCTTCTTCTGTGCATGTAAATGTAAATCCACATGTGAATGTGGGCATCTTAATGCTGTCCAGTCCAAGTTAGTAACCAGGCAGGGTCACGGCTGCCAGGCTCCAGGAGATCAGCAAGAAGACTAATGGAAATATGCAAGGCTGCGTTGTCCTCTCTCATAGAGCCGTTACCCACAAACCCCCCTGTTGTGTGCCTGGCAGCACAAGAGAGAGTCTTTGCCAGCTTTTACCCCCCGAGCGACTCGCTGCACCCCTCTCCCATATCCCATCTTTCTCAGTTCCACTTTCCCAACAATGCGTTTCTCTTTCACAACCGCCTGGAGAGGTAACAAATTGAGCCTTATTGCAAAAGACTCAGTTGTTGATATAAGCCATACAGTTTTAAGGATATATAACAGAAACAGTTCTCTGAAAGGTGTATATGTTCAAGAACTTTTAACGGAACCGAATATCATAAATTGTGTGGTTGTAGTATATTTAATATGGAGTTTGTAACTGCTGACTAATTCTCTCCAACCCTCTCGCGGTCCAATAAGCGAAGCTGCTCATGCTTGTTTTGTAGCATTTTAAACCGCAGGAGCCTGGTTTTGCCCGATTACAACCAGACCCGCTTTGTGTGTGTCTGTATATTAAAGATGGAGGGGGATGGGGAGTTTGTTACATGGAACCAAATGTAATTCCATCGAATTTATTCTGATGAAGATCTGGAAGCAGCGGCTTCATTTAAAGGTTTCTTCAAGTCTAATGGAGTGAATGTGGATGAATAGTAATTTAGTTTATATAAGCTTGCTCTCTCTCTCTCTCTCTCTCTCACACACACACACACACACACACACACACAAATGTGTGTGTATTTCTGTGTGTGTGGTTTGGATGAAGATTATTGATCTGACCAGTGTTGTCTCGCACTTCCTATTTTTTTTTTGTTGTAATTAGGCACTTGTAGCTGACAAGATAAGAATTTCAGGCGTCATGGTTTTTGTTATATTTATGGGGTGCAGCGATTAAAGCAACTTGACGTCATTCATTTTTAGTAGTATTTTGCTATAAAAGCATCAGACATGGTGCTATTCATGCAAATAATGCAGCATATAAGTCACTCTTGTGTGCCTTGTGCATGGTTGTCAAATGTGTTTTGTGTCCTAACATGCTGTGTGTGTGTTCTTTTAAAGGGGTCATATGATGCTGCTAAAAAGAACATTCTTTTGTGTATTTGGTGTAATGAAATGTGATTATGCGGTTTAAAGTTCAAAAATCACATTATTTTCCACATACTGTACATTATTGTTTCTCCTCTATGCCCCGCCTTTTTGAAACGAACGAGCCGTTTTAGGAGGGTGTGGTTAACTCTTAACTTTTATAAAGAATATCTCTTTGGTTTTGAGACTTTAGTGTTTGCAACTTTACAGATCTTCTTTATGCACCAAGAGCTTGTAACACTCCAAAGCATCAAAATCGCATCATATGACCCCTTTAAAGCAATAAGCCCCAAGAAGCCGTGGTTTACAGTGAATTTATAACAGCTAAGGGGCGTTGTTAGGCACGATGTGAAGCGGAGTTGCTTTTATAAAATGGTTATTCCATATACGTAGTATTTTACAACAGCTTCGAACGTGGCTCAGCCAATCAGAATCAAGGACCGGAATTATCCGTTTTATAATGTCCTTATAATTGTCATTTCTAGGCCTTATTTGTGATCTAAACAGAGAAACACACTACCCAAATCACCTGCCAGTCATCAATAAACAACTAAAGTCCATCATGGCACAGAAGAAAATGCTTTAGCAAAGATTAAGTTGTTTAAAACCTCCTTGAATAAACATCTTGCTTTTTCTCCTTCTTCACAATGCTAGCCAGTTACTGCCGCCTCGCTTCGGGCCAAAACAAACTAATGACCAAACAGCTACTCATTGTGAAATTAAGTAAAGGATATTAAATGTCTTACATCAGTGTGATTTCAAAAGTTGCAATTGTGTGTGTTGTTAAAGAGCCAAGTTTATTTAGACTCTCTTAGATAAAGGAGAATTGAAAACATTTGAAAGTCGAATTGAAGATTTAAAATGTTGATCTGTTTGTTTGAGCATCGCAACCAGCCCGACACTGCAAAATGTTGTTTGCAGACATGTTGTCATTAATCTTTTCTCAGTTTTCTGTGTGCATGATTGTGTGTAGGTATTGTAGATAGAGTGAAGCCTTGTCAGGCATTAGCTGTCTAATGAGGATTTGGTGATGCAGCTTATGTTAGCAACAGCTGCAGGAGAGATGTTTGATAAAATCACGCAAAAGGCCATATCAAATGTGCTCAGCTGTATCCATAAGACTGCCCACCAACTATATATTTTGTATTTTGTCATATGCACATGAACGTAAAGTAACGCATTTCTTTTCTACCTCTTTCCCCTCACAGTTCAAGAGGTTCCTCTGTGACTCTCCTTTAGAGGTAAGTCTTTTTATATTTCAAACGTACAATTAGATTTGCCTCTCTTTCTGAAGTCTTGGCCAATTCAGAGGATTTCCCTTTGAAATTGCACAGGTCCAGTATAGTCTCAAAGCAGATGATTTAATCATTTTCATCAGTAGTTCCATACGGATCATAATCTTAACATTTCTTCTGGTTTCTAGTGAAATCCTGGTTCTGCTGGAGAACTCAAAGTACGCTTATAGTTTCCATTGGTGGTCATTATTATTACTTAGAAATGATTTTGCACAGAACCTCTTTATACAAAATTGTATATTTTTTTTCTTTTGATTTTAAAGGAGAATATGACTCAGAGATTCTTGACAGGCTTTGTGAGATACTTTCATATATTTATATAAAACCTTAGGGTAATGCCACATAAGAGTAACAAATGTTAATTTTGCGCAGTCTATTGGAGAGCCGCAGTGAGACAAACAACATGTGGAAACGGCCCTCTGGGTAGCACTGTAATTGTTGGGTTGTTTGTTTGTCATGAAACAATGGAAAAAGCTTAAAGTGTTGTCCAAACTAACCACATTTCTGTGCAGCATGGCATGGCCACACACACGGGACACAAACAAAGAGTTGACTGTGATGTGAAATTGTCCCTGACAGATGAGCGTGTCTCTGTCATGTCCAGCTGCCATCGTTAAGCAATCCCCTTGTTGTGTTACTTTATTATTGAAGAGCAGAAGAGGACATTAAAGAGCAAATGTGGCTGGGCAAATGTTTGTTGATGTTTGGGATGTTAAAATGTGGTTGAATGGAGGAGGTTGAACATCTTACTGACTTTGCTTTTCCACTAAAAAAAAAAATAGTACATTTTTGAATTACAGAAAAGTTCTGTGGCATGGTACAAATATACTTTAATTGTATATATGTGATATTTCAGACATATATATATATATATATATATATATTAAATGTTTCCATAAAATATTAATTCATGTCCCAGTCACATTTACATTTAAACATTACTTACACTACCAGAATAAAAATCTTTTTTGTAATTTTACATTAACAATGTAAATAATAGGCTATTCTATTTATTAAAACCAAGCATAAATCTAATCAGTTTAGTGTTTTTAAGCAATTTACATTTATTCCAAAATAACAGCTCAAGGCAGTAACAGTTGAAACATTATATATATTTTTAAACAATTATATATATTATTTATGAACTGATGTTCAGATGTTCTTTTTAATAATAAACTTATTTTCGGTTCATCAGTCATCAGAGCTCGGTTAACACTGGTCACAGATGCGGAGATGTACCTTTAATTTCAACAAGCTGATTGCTCACGAAAAAACCCCCACAGATCATGTTTTCAGGCCATTTGAAGTTTGACTTGGCAAAGTGGTGATATACAGTATAAGTGTGTGAGTTGTTTACTTAGTTTTTTTTATTAGTTTTCCCCTTAAAGGGTTAGTTCACCCAAAAATGAAAATTCTGTCATTAATTACTCACCCTCGTGTTGTTCCAAACCTGTAAGACCTTCGTTCATCTTCAGAACACAATTTAAGATATTTTTGATGAAATCTGAGGGCTCTCTGACCCTCCCATAGACAGCAAGGTAACTACCACGTTCAAGGTCCAGAAAAGTACCAAGATGATCGACAAAGTAGTCCGTGTGACATCAGTGGTTCAACTGTAAAGTTACGAAGCTACGAGAATACGTTTTT